TACCCAAGACCAAGGATTAGGATTGGAAAAAGAAAGCAATTTAAAAAATTATCACAGCACATGCTTTTATTCTTTATTAAATTAAATTTACAGCTCAAAACCTTATTGCTGTTTGTATGTGTATTCCCTTGTCTGGTTTTCTTATCTCGTCTGGCTTCTTTTTTAAAAACCAGATATAAGATCATTTCAACTACCTGCATATGCTCAGACATTATTTGTCACTTGATTAGTTTAGAAGTTAAAGAACATAAGCAGGTCATTGAAGTGTTATATACATATCCAAGTACTCTTTTCTGAAGTTTCAAAGAAGCTTCACAGTAGAATGACTAGAGATAAGAAAACATATTAAGACAGATTTTTAGGAGCATGCCTTCTTACGTCTGTACTGATGATAATTTCTTACATTTCTAATGACTTCCTGTATTTCAAGAGCCAGAGAGATGGATGACTGGCTAAAATGGGTAATTTTTCTACCTTCTAAGACAATAACTATTTAGAAGTAGAAAGAATTTGGTTTTGTATCATGAAATTTTGAAGCTTTATTCCTTTAAAAAATGCCATTTCTGACCATGATTAGCAAGATTTCACAGTTAATACAAATTTAGGGTTTTGTTTGTTTTAACCTTTTGTCTGTGAAAGTCTTCAAGGTAAGCCCTTTCTTACCCTTCTGTTATTTTTTATGTAATGAGCTTTCTCTTGGAAAGGTAGTAGCTGACAATACTAGCACCTACTATTAGAAAGGGTCCATGAAAGGGGGTAGGAAGGGAAGCAGCATTTGTTGAGTAGCTGCTAAGTGTCAGGTTCTGTGTTAGGTATCAACATTTAATCTTCCCAAAAGCCCATAAAGTAGGTTTTATTATTATTCCTGTTTTTCAGATAGGAAACCAAGATTCAGAGACTTTAAGTAACACCTAGTTAGTGGCAGAGTTCAAATCCAGTTATCTTTGGGACCAAAACCTGTGCTTTTTGTATGTTGCTAAGTTTATCGAGATAGCGTTCTGAGTACTTCTGGAGATGTAAAGAGAAATAGACATTTCCCTGCCCTCAGGCAGCACGTGCTTGAAGTAATGGAGGAAACACATTTAAACATAGAAAATTAGTACTACAAGATAATATTCTATTACATGAGAAGTGCCACTAATAGGCCAGCAACAATGGATGCTCTGAGTATCCAAAGGAGGAGAGAGAGCTCCTCTTACTGAATCTACAGGGAGAGCTTCTTCCAGAAATATTTAAGCATTGAAACTACATATTTTTATATATAAAATAGATAAACAACAAGGACCTACTGTACAGCACAGGGAACTATATTCAATATCTTATAATAACCTATAATGGAAAAGAATCTGAAAAAGAATATAGATAGATAGATAGATAGATAGATAGATAGATATGTGTAACTGAATCACTGTGCTGTATACCTGAAACTAACACAACATTGTAAGTCAACTGTACTTCAATTAAAAAATAATAATAATTTTAAAGCACTGTATCTTTTTCAATAATAAAACTTTACCAGTGGTCACCTGAGTGAGTAGAATTTGGAATATATTATTTTTACAGGAAAAAAATTCTTCGTAAAAAAACACACGTCTTATTGGTTGTTTTCCTTTTGTTACAAAATTATGAATGAAATGGAATCAGCCAAAATACACATTTTAACATTACATTCTTGTTATTCGTTTAACAAACATTTATTGAGTATTAGGCATGGGAGATAAAAGACAGAGCATCATCTCCGCCCTCAGGGAGTTTGTAGTCTAACAGGAGGACAGGCATATTAAAAAAAAAAAAGAAAAGAAACAGAAGAAGAAAGGGAGGAAGGCACAGGCTGACAGGCAAAAACTAGGTTATGTGAAACACATAACCAAAAGCATAACGATTTATTCAACTTCATTGTATCCTTCAGAGAAGGATAACACAAATGGGCTTATTAGTCTCTTAATTCTTAGATTTTTGCTTATTTTTCACTGTGATCAAATTATCTTAATTGATTATGAAATAAAAGATTAGGAATCTATGAACTGAAAGTGAGCTTTTTTCCTTTTCTTGCATTCCTACGCCATCTCCTATATCTTGCCCTAAAATGAGTATGGATTGTGATGTAGTTTCTTCTTGCTGTCATAAAAATTATTTTTGGTGAAGTGATAGAATTTTTAGAAAATGTTGAAAACCCCTAAATATTGTGTAAGAATTTTTTCTGTAGAAAACTTTCATTGACTTGTGCTTTATGATAAATAATCTTATAGATGTTTCCTCACTGGACAGATTAGTCCTCACCCCCAAATTATGTGTATCTATGGTGTAACTACATTTCAACTGTTTGAAGACATTTTCATATTATCTGCATGCTCTCTGAATGATAAGGTGCCTTGGAAAATGTGAGATGGTCTTTTAAAAGAAATGCAGTAATCATACATTGATTTTAAATGACCCTGTCACACGTGAAAACAAATCAGATTGTTGCTCTTAATGAGCTTTTCAATTTACCATTCAGTAGATCAGATAAGTGGATTTAAGAGGTAATGATCCTGTTTAGTACTCAAGCTTGGCTGTCAGATCCTAGTAGTGGAGAGAAATCCCTAGGGACAAAAGCGTTGACACAGTTCTAGATGGGATAATGGGAATCAAAGCTAATGGATGATAAAAGGAATGGTGCAAGTTACAAGGATAATTGTGGATTAAAGCACTGCCATGTGTCAATGTTGACTGTTTTTTCCAGTATCTTACTGGGTCAAATCTGTTGCTTTGAGAAGCTGTTTTGACAGCAGAGTACAACAGACCTGCCTGCTTAGATTCCTTCTTTCTTGAATGCCAGAGACACAACAGAAAACTTCCTTGCAGGGACTATCAATTTAAAAAATATTTTTAATATGTTTAAATGTCTTAATGTTTAAAATCACATTTTTGTTACATTTCTATTATTCAGTGTGGCATGGGCAAAATCAAAATTAGATTAATTTGATCTTTGCCATAAAAAATAGCATTTGAAAAGTCTTGAAAGTGTAACATTTTATTTTACAAAAATACAGTGTAGTAGGGGAGATGGACACCCAAACAATTACAACGGGAAAAGCACCATGCTAGAGGAATGGACCAGACGCTATAGGAACATAAAGGAGAGCGCAACTTAACCCTACCTGGAAGTGGAAGGAAGGCTTCAGAGATGACTTTTGAATGAGAATCAGGGGAAGAGGAGGAAGAAGGCTGATTCAGGAAAAATGAACAGCACATGAACTCATAGAGATCTGTAATTGCATGAGAAGCCTCAGTATTTCATTGTGGCTTCAGGTTGAGGGAAATGATGATGAGGAGGTAGGTTGGGGCCAAGTTGTGAAGGGCCTTGTGTGCCATAGTCATATCAGTATCAGATTTTCAAAGGGGCCCGACTTACTCCCATTCATGAGAGAGCTTTTGGATCATGTTGAGATAAGGGAAACTTCCCTTTTTACAACCATTCTTCCTTTGAGCCTTCTATGGGCTTAAAGGTTTCTGATGATTGAGGATTTGGTAGTAACTAACTTCCCTAGGTTCTTTCTCCCTAGCTCCCTCTTCTCAGCAGACATCTTACAAAAACAGTGATAGCTTTGATCTTACAAGAGATGAAGGCCTACACTCATGAGCCGAGTCACAGATACTGGAATTGAAATGCTTTTCAATTAGGGCTCAGAAGTTAGCAGGAGAAGCAACAGGAATTTGAATCTCAATCTTCCTTTCTTTCTCTCTCCCCCAGCTTCTCCCCTCTACCCTTCTGCCCCTTCTTTCACCTACCCCTTCCTTTCCCTCTCTTTCTCCCTCTGATTCACTCTACTGGCCTGAGGAGCTCCTGGTCGTAGGACTTAAGTCAAAAACCTGGAACACAAGCTTCTATTTGAATACTGTTTAAAATCCAAACATGAGATCCCTGCAATGAACAGCTTTTCCTCCCCTGTATCACCATGTAACTCTGGATGATTTGTGGTGTCCTGTGATTTTTATCTCACCTTCACAACCTATGACATTATATCAAGGTAGTGTTTACATATGAAAAACAAAAGGCAGAGGGAGTGAAAGCTAAGTTGCCATACCATAGGAAATAGGCAGATCAGGAGAGAGTAAGAGAACACAATCACAAGGAATCAAATCAGAGAAGAGAAATCCCATACAGCTGGTGTCTGGCAGAGATAACCTGGAATCATACCAGAGCATCAGGGAGTATGAAGGTGTCAACCCACCTCTCAGCTTTGCCAGGCTATTAGAGGGAATATTCAATTGGCTGCCAGTGGCATTTTCCCACTTGTAGTGGGGTATGTGTTTATAAGCTCAATGCGGCTTAGGTTGGAACTGAAATGTTACACCCCAAACTCTGCAACCATCACTCCCTAATGGGAAGCTTAGTGGATTCCCAGACCCTGATGTATTCAGCAGAGAATCCCTGAGCCTGGGATTTCAGTTTCAGCATGGAAAGTAAGACCTATCTGTATATTTGGGGGAGCTTATTGAGATACTTGAGGAGAATTTCTGTAAATTCTTTAACTTCCTCTTATTTTTGAAATCCTTATTTTTATAGCTGCCTAACATAATCCTGAATTATTTGATGGCTTGCTAAAATCTGGAAGAGATGGAAATTTTTTAAATGTTGGAATCTTTTATTGAGGCCCTCCACTTTCCAGCCCTTTACGTACATATACCTGCCTTTGAAAAAGGGGTGATTTATTACCACTTTGAGAAAAAAAAAAAAGTTATGTGGTATGCTGGGAATAAAATGAGTATGTGAATGTGGGTTTATGTGGGTATGTATATATTTCAAGATAAGGGAGGTGCTTCCTGGAAGAGAAAGAAGAGGGTAAATTTTTAAATTATAAAATTTTTTTTAAATTCTTAATTTGTTCTCCCCACTCGTTCCCTACATCAGTGTGGATGCCACAAAGCATTAAATCTTTACATTTGTTCAATTTGAATAGTCTTTTGAAAATATATGTTAATGATAAAGTTTTTAACAGTTAAATGTTTTCATGCAGGTATATGCCCGTATGTCAGAAGTCTTAGGAATAACAGATGACAACCACGTTCTAGAAACATTCATGACGAAAATGTGAGTTCCTGCTTTGGTTCTTTGGTTTTTCTGTTGTTGTGTTGCTTTGACCTTTTTACTGTGCTTAAATCTCTCCAGAAATATTAATTTTTAATAAGAGACTTTTAAAATTATGCTTTAATTCTTAGAACGGTAGCATTGTTCTTATCTGAAACTTAATTTCCCGTATTTAAAATTCACCATCCAAAATATGTTACTTGTCAAGGTATCCGTACTACTGCAGTATGCAGTATCAAAACATGGTTTTGAAAAGTTTACAGAATTGGACCGCCTTTTTTAATTAAAAAGAAAATACTCAATTTTAAAGACCAACTCAAGAGATTATTGCAAATTGGAATCATTGAGAGAGATTTGGTTGCCTTCAGACAGGGCATTCATTGATTCCAGTAGAAACCTATGGCTCTCAGAGACATATTCATGGAAACTGTCCTTAAATTATCCTTACAGTATTAGCAAAATTAACTAGTTTCTGGTCATAGACATAACTTTGTACACTTAGCCTAAACTTCTATGCCTCCACTTGACATCTTTCTTCATCTGTGTAACAGATAGGTAGCACTGCCTTACTTGCAGAGAACAAAGCTAGATAAACAATCATGATCATAGGAAGTGAGTTTTGGAACCACAAGTTTGATGGTTCACTTCTTGGCAGTAACTGTGAGTCTCTATTTGACTTCCTTTGTAACTCCTGTTGTCACTCCCTACTATGTTTATTTTGGATACAAGCTTAATGTTTCTTTGAAACATTTAGGCAACTTTTTAATTTACAAAACTAAATTTATAGAATAATACACCATTTGGAGAGCAGTGTTCATTGCTTCTATATAATTTTGAATATGCTATGAAAAGAATAGAAAATGTTCCGTTGATATTTAAACCCACTTTATGAGATTTTTGTGATTTAGGTCATTTAACTGACATGAGTGTATGTGTATTTCCATGTTCTCCCGACACAAACAAATACCTTCATTATAATTAAAAACTTTTTTTTCATGTTTAGTGTTACAAACCTTAAATACTGGGGAAGATGTGAGCCTGTCATTTCAAGGACTCTTCAGTTCCTAAATGACCTTTCTGTTGGATATCCTTTTTACTATATCTGATAATGTACATAAACAACCTAACAAGTGCATTCTGTTGGCCAGGTATTTTCCTTATTTATAATTTTTCAAGTGTTTTTTTATGTTTTTAATAAAAAGCCTTTCATTTAGCCTTATCTGTAAATGCATAATTTTGAAAGATTTATATTAGCTATATAATGTGAAAATTTTATTCAGAGTCACAATTGAATTTATATGGATATATAGATTTCTAACTAGTTAAAGTTATGTTTATACCCATCCAGGCTTATAAATGGATATATAAGAAAGTATGCAAACCACATATGTTTTAATCCATAATTTTTCATAATTGTCAGGACGTTCTTGTTTTAAAAAAACATGTAACTAATTTTAAGAAAGTCAAAATGTTCCAAAAATATTATTTTATAAAAACTGAATTCCTAAGAATCAGTATTTCTTCAGTGTTCTTCAGTTGAAACGAATATTATTTTCACTAGTTAAGAGGCACAAAGGAGTAATGGAAAGGGAATTACAAGGTTTTTGACCTCTTCTTTGATTATTTCCTCTACCAAATCAACATCTTATTTACTCTAAAATAAGATTTCCCATTACACATTAAATGTTTAGACTTCTCTTTAGCAGATTTTTAAAATCCTTTCTTACTAGATTATAGTTGATACTATTATAATGTTCCTACCAATGCGAGAGAAGTATGTCGATTGTCTTTTATATGTTAGCTATCAAATATATAGGAGTTGTGAAAAATAAGTGTTGGTTTAGTTAACCACTAAGATTAGCTGATATTTTAACATGAGGACAACATTCTGAAACTGGGTGGCATTGGATGGAAATCTTTAATGTAGGTTCACTGCAGGAATATGTTTATATTAGTTAAGTTTAAAATTGTGTTCCTTGGCAAACCATAAAAGATTTCCAAAGTATTAGACACCCACTTTTGTGCTGGAATTTAATATGCAACTTTTTATTGGAAAATAATCGTCCTTGTCTGGCAAAATCCACCATGCAATATTTCTGTTAGTAGGTATAATGCAATCAAGACAGGGAGGGCTATTTATCACTACAAATTTTGAGGATTTCAGGATTCTTTTTATTATTTTAATATATTTCTTTGATATTAAATCAGAAAAATGATAAATTACACCTGTCCAGGCTGTTTTTCCTTTTTACTGGAAAGTGATGTACAACCCAATTCCAGTGGTCATTTTGGCTTTTTAAGATATGTATTTTTTCTTATTAAAAAAAAACTCAACCTGCATTTTTTTTTTAATAATAATGCTGAAATACTCTTTATTTCTAACATATGAAGTGGTTTATAAGTACTTCCTAGTATTGCAAACTCTGGCCTTTTCACAATGTATTATTTTGAGAACATATTATCTGGAAAGAAGCCTATATTATTTTATAGCACATATCTATGTTTAGATTTCCCCTATTTTTTAGGTTGAAATTGAAATCTAATATAAAATTAATTTGATTTGTATTGTTTTTTGTATGATTTACATAATGCCTAATTTATTTCTATCTGCTATTAAAGATCCTTTTCTACCACTTATACCTTTTATATATTCTTTAATCCTGAGATTATAACCATTTATTTTACAAGTCACTTACTGCTTTTGAGCACTCCTTTTTTGAAGTTAATAAAAGAATCGTATTTTCAGAAAACTTATTAGATAAAAGTTTAAAAGCTAGCGTTTTAAACCAAGGGATAGGCATAATTTCAACTTGGGTACATTGATTTATATTTTTTAACAATTATTTCAGGTTTGCATATTTAGAAATACATATTAACTCAATTTGATTTCACTGCTCAGTTATTTGAATTATAAATCATTATGTCCCTTCTAGCTGATCAGTCATGAAATATCTTTGAATTCATTTACATAATGGAATATGTGAGTGGTGTATCTATTTCAGTGCAGTTGCTGGTTACTTAATGCATGTTTTGTTGTTTCTAATCGATTTCTTTAATGTGTTTTTAAATCCTGATTTTAAAGCAATACATTATTTCTGTGTTAAAAATAAGGTGACACTCTTCAGCAATAGGAACAGTTATGCAAGATAAAAATCATCACCATTTGGCCTCTGTAAATGGAAGTATGTTTATATAGTAATATTCAAAATATTTGTATTTAAAATACTAGTAACAAATAAATGAAAAGCATGTTATCTTACTATAAAATTTTTAAATGTTCCTTATTACTTTTATAATGCATGTCTTCAAATACTTATTTTTTTGTTTTTTCTATTTTTATCTTCTTCAGAGTGAATCTTACTCATTATTTATGGTCCTCATAGCCAGTCTCTGAACTTTGGTGGTCTTATATCTGACTGGTTGTTTGGAAACTGAAATCACAGAAGATCCTCATTTTTAAGAAGCGCTAAAAAGCCTTGTGTTTACTTGCCTAAGGCAGAGTAACCGGGAATGGTAACCTGGCCCCGGATGGTTACTGTCTCAAACCTTAGTGATAATCAGAATCACTGGAGTTCTTGTTAAAATACAAATTCCTGGACCCCACCCCCACCCCCAGAGTTTCTGTTTTAGGAGGGGTCAGACTGAGGCCTGAGAATTTGCATTTTCATCAACTCCAGGTGATGCTGGTGGCTCAAGGACCATACTTTGAGGACTTCTGCCTTAAGTTAATCAGAAAATAGAACTGAATGTCCTAAACAGAAAAGTCGGGTATTTCTCCTACAAGCTCTTCTCTAAGAGAATTTGTCTTCACTTGGAAAAGGTGGACTTGACATTTTTAGAAATAGTCTAGTTTTCCAAATAATAATGTGTGTGAGGAGGATACCATTATGTTAAGTCCCCAGATTTTAACTGGAAAGCCCTTGTTGCATTCACCCCAAGGTTTCTGTTGGTAAATTTGAAGCTTTCTAAATTGGTAAGATTATTGTAATTTTAAAATCCAGTGGCCTTTTTGAGAGAAAGTTTGTTTTCCCGACAGATTCATTACATGTGGCATATATGATACATTTAGCAAGCATATCTAGTAACTTTTTTATGTACTTTTTAAATTTCCAAGACTAAATTTCAAGAATTCCAGATTCTAAATAGCTTTCTCTAACAGGCACAGAGTTGAAATGACTCTGTCCTGGGGCAGCCCTCCACAGTTAGGTTTAATACTTGGGGATCTTTTTCCTGCTTTGAAGTGATTTCCAGTCATAAATTCTAGTTTCTATCTAATTGGGAAAGGAGTAAGATTGTTTAAGTGATTAGGACAAGGAAGCTGCCAGGAAAACTGGAGCAAGAATAAGGGTCATACAGAGGTATCAAATAAACTTAACTTATTTTACATGCTGAGAAAGAGGGAGGGAAGTGTCACATTTCATCCAAAATTCTGTTTATTAATCATTATTTCAAATTTTTCTTCCTTTGAAAAATAATTGATCAGTATTTCTGCTGCAGTTCATTGTTTACTAAAATTTATAGCATTTACATGTCTCTGGGTTTCAGATAGATAATAATGAGAAAGGAAATTTCATTTTCTGTTAGGCCCTCTGTTGGTAACTGCCCTTATTACATCATCCTCAAAGGTTTGAGAAAACCCACAATATCTTTAGCTTTTAAAAAACAGACCCCATTAAAGGGTTCTACATAAATTCATGAATTTATCCAAACTCACTTTACCCTATTGATAATGTTAACTTAAACAATTCTTAGAATTAATAACTTCATCATGTTATTGCAAGACCACATACATAATTCACGGGTCCCAGTACGAAGTGAAAATGTGGGGTGCCTTGTTCATAAATGATTAAGAATTTCAAGTCCTCGTCAGCAGAGCATTGAACCAAGCAGAGGCCTTTATAAGCAGGCCCCTGTGCAAGTGCATAGTCTGGATGCCCATGAAGCTGGCTCAGGTTACCTGTTAAAGAAAGAATGACTTCCATTTGGCTTCTGACTAACTCTCTAAGGCTGGGACTATCTCCCATAGTTCCTGTACACCAGGATTTGGTGAATCCTGAATGAGGTGGAGGGTCAGGAAAGACTAAAGGATGAAAGATGAAACAAGGGTCTAGGATGAAATAAGGGTGAGGGATGGAAGTCAAATTGGGTATGTCTGTTACAGGAAATATTTAGTAATAAACCGTAGTAATTCTGCTTTTGTGAAACAGTATTAAAATGTATTGCTTTATTTCAGTGAATATCACCATCTCCAGATGGTTTTCAGAAGGTTAAATAAAACTAGTTTCAGCTACATCCCTCAGGCATACTTCTATTAACATTGCTCATCAAAAGAAATGTTGATTTCTTTCTTTCTTTGCTGCCTCTGTCATCTTTGGAAAAGTCATCTCGTAATTTATCTGCTCTGTTTGTTTGTTTTTGTGCTGGCCTCAAGGGTGAGAATCTTCTACTCCTCTTCTGTAGCCCACTTATGCAGGCCTTCTCTCAGTTCTTTATATATTCTTGCTTCACAGGATTACCTTCCTTGAGTATTGTTTTGATCTGATCATTTTTCTTCCCAAAAGCCCAGAGTCACTTCCACTTGCTTCTTGGGTCAAAGTAAAATTATCGATTTAAACTTGAGTTCTTTAATGGTACTTGACTTATTGAGTTCCCATAACTAATTTCCTGATCTACCACTCAACCACAATTTGTACTTTATACTTCGGCCAAGGAAATTTATTTTTGCCTTCCCCTTGACACCCTTCATTATCTTTCACTGAATTACCACATGTTCTGTTCTCTTCATTTGATCCATTGTAACTCACTTAGGTCTCTTTTAATTTTCAGGTTTAGCTAAAAACTTGGTAGAGCCATCCTGAAGTAGTTATAATCCTTAGTCACTGTTAACTGAAAGAACATGAATGAGTCATTTAATTTCTCTGAGACTCAGTTTCTTCATCTGTAGAAAGGGAATATTACCTATCTCTTAGGATTTTGTAAGGATTAGATAAGATAGTAAATACATAACAGTATATCTATGTCATCTTACAGTAATAAAGCACCTGGTTCTACTGATCCAGTCACATAGTAGGTGCTACTAAATACTTCATTTTCGTTCCTTTTCTTTTTCTTAATGTTCTTGGACGCCTAGTTGTTATCTATATTTCTGGTGATGAATATAATATAGCCTAGTATTGGCTAGTCCTCTCTCCTATTAAGTTGTAAATTATTAGGGATTAGGACTCTTGTTTCCTTTCTCTATAGTTTCAAAACTTCATCACGTAGCAGGCCTTTTAAACATACTGTTACCTCTCCTACTGAGATACTAAACCTTAACTCTTATTCCTTATAAGTAGTTATTAGTATCCCTTAAGATGTTTCATTTTGGTTATACCTGTTTGGATTTTTTTTAGTCTAGTAGGGTTCATGAGCATAATTCTACTTTTGAAATAACTAAACTAATATTTCAGTAATTATACTATATTACCTACAGTAATTTCCAACAGGTAATTTTCTTATCTGTGAACTTTCTTCTGTCACCAGGATCTAATTCTATCTGTAATATTTACTTTTTCTTTCATAGTAGCTCATATAATAAGGATGTTTTTTATAATCAGTGGTGTTTTAGGACTGATGAAATATGGTGTTGCTCAGTAAAGACTTGATAGCATGAATTGAAGTCATACTTGGTGCTCCTGTGCCCCTTAGCTGCTAAAGTGTGTGGTACCTGTAACTTAAGAAACCAGGGCATTCTCAATTTGGTTATCCTTCTTTTCAAAGGATGCAGATTTTCAAAATTTTGACCATCTCTAAGATACACCATTCTTTCAACTTTTTCTTGCCTTTCTCCATTTGTCATGCTAACTATCAGTAAGGCCATCTCCACTTTCATCAGTGGTTTCATAACAACATGGATATAGACAGAAATTTTATGAGCATTTTGTTTGTAAGTTAGTATCAGCCAGGTTATGGAGTTTGCTCAGTCCTGGATGTGATGAAGGCTCACTAATGAGTTGATGCCTCCTAAAAGAACAGTTTCCCTGTCGTTTCTGGGACCTAGTTCCAGTTTCAGTTGTATCTCAAGAAGCTAGTGATCTCTGTAGAATCATTTGGCATCTTTAAAATTAAATGGATATGAGATAGCCTAGTGAAAAGAGCTATACTTTCAAGTCACACAGACCTTTGAACTTTGGATTTGAATCTTGGCTCTACCATTTATAAGTTCCATGTGGGACCTTTATTAAGTTCTCTTACTCTACTGGACTTCTACTACTGTTGTTACTGTTAACCACCGTTACCACGTGTACTGTTACAAACTGTTGTCAACAGGCCTCTGAAATCTAACCTAGTACTGCCACCCAACTAAAATGGTGCGACTTACAAGAACCCTAGTCTCTTAGAGAAGAATGAAGATTATAATGATGTATGTATCTACTTACCTTTTTAAAAAAATTACAGATCCTCTTAAGGACCATAACTAGCTTTGAATTGAATTCCTATAGGGGAATATAAATATGCAGATAAACGCTCATTTTTTTCTTTATTGAAAAAGTTAAAAAATTCACTCTTAACCATTTTTTTTCTTTAGAAGGTAATTAAAAGGCCGTGAGGCTGGCCTTGGTACAAAGTGCACAGATGCAGTTCTGCAGAAAATTTGTCTTTGGCATATGAGATTCTTCCTGTGAATGTTCTGTTTATTGCTACCATAAATATTCTGTTGTCAAAACATGACTTGCTGTTTATTAGCAGCACTGACAGGAAGATTCCTATTAATGGCAGCATTCTTATTACCCATAGACCCTGTCACTTTTAACTTCGCAATTGTAAGAGAATTGTATTTGGTAGTTACTTAAGATATTTCTTAACTTATTGATCCCCACCCCTGTTTAACCGAGTGAAGTTTGAGTGGCAATTCTTCTACTCAGTGATTTACACTGGAAAAAATCATCAAATCTGCATCTTTGTAAGCAGGGAAAGACTTGCTACCTATCAGCCCTGATCTTGTTTCAACCTTCCAGAAACACATAGCGCATCGAGCACCCACTGAGAGCAATGTACTGAGGAAAATGCATACATGCGGCCACTGCCCTTAGAAAGGTTACAGTATAATATACAGATAAGCAAAATATACAGTTGCTTAATATGCAACTGGAATGGGTTGCCTTAGAGTCAGAGGGGCTTGAATGTAAATCATCCTAATTGCCTGTCTTTTGGAAAGTTTTATTTCATTGTTTGAGTTTGTTTCCTCATTTGAAAAATAGAATCTATCTCATGGGATTGTGAGAATTAACCTTGCAAGTAGTAAGCATTCTGTAAAGGTTCATTCTCTGCTTCTTTGTATCTTCTCTCTGATTTACATTTAGCAAAGACATTTGCATCATCTGATTCTTACAACATTCCTCAAGATAGCTTGGGTATATCCTCATTTGTTGAAGAGGAAAACTAAGGCTAAGAGTCGCTAAGTACAGTACTCAGACTGTCATCCTGCTGATCGAATGGTGTAGTCAAGCTGAAAGCCCAGGCTTCCTAAGTTTTGTTCCAGTGCATTTTCTACTCTTTTACACCCACACCTGAGTGCCTAAAATTTTAAATTAGGCTTATCGGCCCCACTGTACAGAGTTAATATACATCTGCATTTGGGGATGATGTGAAGGAAAAGAGCCAGTGTTTTCATTGGGACATAAATGGAACCATGTAAGATTATTACGGCTTGAAGAAAGGTGTGAGTAAGTATGTAGGGAATGCCCAAGAGGTGCCCTAGCTAGAGTAGGAGACACATGACTAGAAAACACTTAGGGTAAACCCTAAGTAAGAGCAGAGGGTGTCTGTGTCCTGAATAGATGTTCTTAGAACCCACTTCAGCCCCTTCTTTGAGGACGGCATTAACCAGAAATTATTTAGGCTTTGTGATCGTGTTTGTGACTTTTCAACTCTGTTCTCATTCTGAGTTGAACTGTTCAGGTGATAATGTGGTACAGTAGAAAGAACCCAGCCTTTGTAATCAAACCTCAGGTCAAATGTCAGCACTCTCAGTCCACAGATGTATAATCTTGGGCAAGTAACTTAATTTCTCTGAGCTTCTGTTTTCTTATCCACAGATTAGATATAATGAGTAATATTTAACAATGTAATTATGAAGATTTGGTGGATTAACAAATATAAAATGCCTTACACCTAGTAGGCACTTGAGAAATATTAGGTCCTTTAAACCTGTCCTTCAATACTTGAGGACATGCAATCTGCTACATCCTCCTAATTGTATTCTGATTTTCTTCATCTAAAGCAGAACTTCCTTAGATTTCTACTAACTGAGCTCATGTTACTTAGAATTGAATAATTTTCTCTTTCTTGATAGCCTATTATAGGTCTTTCATAATTATTTTTTATAAAATAATATTAAGTGAAAAGAAGTTCCATGTTACACCCAAAATGTAAAAAGGGTCAGTTTTAATTTTCCACTCTCAAGGCTTTAATAGTAAAAAAGTTTTTGTCTTAATTATAAAAGTCATTCTTCCTTTCCATAACTAGAAAATGTATAAGGTAGGAAAAGTAATTGCACTGGTTAATAATGGATTATCATTCTTAACAGAATGGAAGGCATTTCTATAGGAATAATACTCTTTAGAAAAAATATTTATTCTTCATAAATAGAAACGGATGCCATTATAGTTCAGTGTTATTTTGTGATCTATTACTTATTGATAAGACAATTGTATTTCCCCAGATTCCTTAACTTCTATTACCTATATCCTTTTAAAAAAACTTGTGAAGATAGATGCCGTGAAATTCATGTTAAAAAATCACACGGTGAGTCTTATTTCCTTTAATTAATGACTAGAGTTTTCCGGGTAGTTTAGGTAAAGCTTAGTAACTTTGGATGCTCTCTTGCTTTCATCAGAGTGAACACTTCCCCTTTCTTGGCATCAGTGACAGTTACAGTCTCAGTGACTTCAGGTGCCGAACAACCTTCTACACAGCCCTCACTCGTCTTCTGATGGTAGATCTAGGTAAGGTTAAGAATTTAAGCTTAATTAATAAGGGGTCAACAGTATAATTGTGTGAATAAAGAAGTGTCATATTTGTGAGTACCACATTTAACCTATTGGAATTTGCCATCTTTGACAGTTTTCTACAACTTTCCGAGATTTGAGCATTCACTTGTTAGCGTCAGAGCCAAAAGGCAAATTTTTGTATACAAGGTGGTATTTTTCACTTCAAATAGTACTTGTATTAACTCTTTACTTCAAAACTGATTTTCTGGGTATCCTTTGATCCATTAATTTTACTGCTACAAAATCAAAGAATAATCGTAAATACAGAAAAGCTTTATAAACAAGGATTTTCTTTGTAATGGCATTTAATCTAGAAAAAAAATGGCAATGATGTAAATGTCCAACAACAGGGAATTATAAAATTATGGCATATCTACTTACTTGATGGAATAGTCTGTAGTCATTAAAAATTATGACTTGAAGACAAAGTAATACATGAAGTTTTATGATATAATGTTAAGCAAAAAAATAAGGTATTGAACTGTGCAAATGATTATGAGCATGCCCATTGGGAGGGAAAAAACAGTGCGTCAAAAAAAAAGCTTAAATGAAATTATTCAAAAATGTTAAATGTTGTCTTTGAGTAGTGCACTATAGGTGACTTTTCCTCATTTCTGGTTATTTGAAATTTTCCATACTGTATTACTTTTCTAATGGGAAAAATTAACTTGTTTTTGTTTCATTGAAAAGCTGAAGTTAGCCAGAAGTATCCACAGGTAGATAGCTAGCTACCTTAAGATGGGCACTTAGGCCTCTCTGTGTTGAGCACGTTATTCTGGATTCCCATTTTCCCCCATGTTTGGATACTGCAGGTTAAATTAATCGGTTTATAGACATATGAGAGAATTCAATCAGTGATGATATGGGCTTCCCTGGTGGCGCAGTGCTTGAGAGTCCGCCTGCCGATGCAGGAGACGCGGGTTCGTGCCCCGTTTCGGGAAGATCCCACATGCCGCGGAGCGGCTGGGCCCGTGAGCCATGGCCACTGAGCCTGCGCGTCCGGAGCCTGTGCTCCGCAAATGGGAGAGGCCACAACAGTGAGAGGCCCGCATAACGCAAGGCAAAAAAAAAAAAAAATCAGTGATGATATGGGCTTCCCTGGCGGCGCAGTGCTTGAGAGTCCGCCTGCCGATGCAGGAGACGCGGGTTCGTGCCCCGTTTCGGGAAGATCCCACATGCCGCGGAGCGGCTGGGCCCGTGAGCCATGGCCACTGAGCCTGCGCGTCCGGAGCCTGTGCTCCGCAAATGGGAGAGGCCACAACAGTGAGAGGCCCGCATAACGCAAGGAAAAAAAAAAAAAAAAAAAAAAAAATCAGTGATGATATGATATCATCCTTAGAAAATGTAAGACTGATGGTACTTTTTCTTCCTTTTCTCTTGCAATGTATTAATTGATCTATCAACTTAAACATGAATTTTTTTAAACATGATCATAATAAGGAAAAGGGATAAATAATTTCATTTTGTATGTAAAAGGCATTGACCCTTGTAGTGGAAAGGTGACTAAACCCTTCTCTGCTCCATATGTATGTTATTTTCATGCATTTCAACAGAATAAATTACCAGAACGACAAACAGCCAAAAGTTGCAAACAATACAACAAGAATGACTAAGGAGCTTAGTGGGATTGATTTCTAAAGAAAGATTAAAAGAACCATGTATGTAAAACTTGGCTAAGTGACAAGTAGGGCTTGAGGCAAAGAAAACTGTCTATAAATATTTGAAGAGTGTAAACCAGGCATGCAAAACCCAATCATCTGCTACCTTAGGCAAATGGAGGATCTGAGTGACAGCTTTGCATGTTGCACACTGGCCTGTATTACCTCTCAGCTGCTGCCTTGGAGAGCAGAAGAGCAGCCCAGACTCTTTGTCATCTTCCTCCATAATCATTTAGAGAGCACCCTGTGCTGAGGTCTGAGGGCAAGACAAACACCAGTCAGGCATACTGGCCCCTGCCCTCAAGGAGCTAGCCTTCTTGCTTTCCCTGTTGTCCAAGCATTAAAGGAGATAGTAACACCCTTGTCTAGACTTAATTTGTTTCCTAAGCCTTAAAAACGCCCTTTTAATGACCTGTCAAACAGAGTGAAAGAAGCAGGGAGACCAAAGTTAAACAGAACTAGCTAAAGGAAATTTCCTAGAAGGAGGTTCATGTCACGCACATCTTCAGGACCTGGAAATGGAATGAGTCAAGATCCTTTTTTGTACCGCCGTTATGGACAAAAGAACCCCTCATAAATCTGTGGTAGCTTAAACAACAGGATAGCACTGTCAGTATTCACAGCACTACTGCACTTATCTTTGCATTGATAATTGATAGTCATGATGATGCCCAGAAAGACCCTGCATTGCACGCTGCCTTTTTGAAGACTACATTTATTTAGTGTTGCTTAATGTAAACTGTGAGGTATGAGAAACTGAAGTAAAAATACATAATTGAATAATAGGGTCTTATTAGGTTTCACACGATTTGATTCCTTTGAAATATTTAACCCAAGGACATATAAAGTATAAATTGAAATTTTTTGGTTCAGAGTTTTTTTTTTTTAAAGGTAAATATCTGTTACACTGAAAGTAGTTTTTAGATACCTTGGGAAAAAGGAAAGACAGGCTGTGTGGGAGTACCTGGTACATGGTAGGTGCTCAATGTAAGTAAATCGAATCTGGGAATAGATAAAATGAAAAACAATAGCAGCTACACTCATGGAACTTGTACATTGTTTGAAAAGAAACTTTTTTATTTATTAGTGTTTTTCACTTTTAAAAATAATTAAACATGTATGACAAGCATCAAGTGATGATTTGTGGTATATATTATCAGAGCTTCCTTCCCCTGTTACAAACCAGAGTTGCTCTTCTTCCCAAAATATGTTGAGCTCCTTTAGGGTATAGACTTTGCCTTCTTCTTATTTTCTAGTACCAATCTCAGTATCTCTACATTGTAGGTGCTCAGTTAGTATTTGGCGAATGAATGACACACAAGTATACTGTAACCGGAATGCCATAATCATGGCTCCTGAAATCAACTCAGCCTGCTGTGTTCTCTCTGGGAGTAGTTTGATCATTGGGCTGTCCAAGACAAAACAAATCAAGTGGCTGATTACTTTCGGAAGTGATTAGCTACACTTGGCCACTCTTGTGCTCGATTAGTCACTTGTTGCTCTCTGTTCAAGTTATTACTTTACAGACAATCATTTGTTGAGTGCTGCTGAACACAGTTTTATTATTTGAAGCCTTGTCTCACAAACTAGATTGACTGGATGTTGCTGTCAGAATTCCTATATAGATGGCTCTATACTGTTCTATTGGGTGTTCACTGTCATGGAAACAAGGAAAGGAGGTAGTGATGTTGTCAAAAGAAGCACAGATCCAGGTATTAAGTGAGGGAAATACTAGATCATGAGAATTCTTCTCAAATTAAACAGAAAAATTTGAAGAGGAACTTTTTATATCAGTGATTTTTTTTTTTTTTTTTTGGTAAGAATCACATAGAAGAAACGCCTAACCAACCTGCTTGCAAAGCATTGGATGTGATTCTTAGATTGAAATATAAAGCATATTCTAATTGAATCCTACAAAAGAAATTGAATATGCTTTGTGTATAAGCCCTGCACATTGGAGTGATTTTAAAAGGTGAAGAAATTGGGTGTCACATTAATTGATATTTACTTTGAAATGCATTTTGGTTTCTATTCAATAATTTGTACTTTGTATGCATTTAATTAGGGGCTATGCGCCCCAGATTGTATTTCAGATTAAAATGGGGGGGGGTGTTGACAATAAACAGTTGTACCACTTTATCAAATTGCTCCTTGGCTAAACTAGACGAAATGTTCACTTGTATAAAGAACAGAATTGAAAGCATTTCATCGTCAGAATGATGATGTTTCATGTTGGCCACGTATTTTAAGAAATTATAAAAATTAATGCAGGGCTTCCCTGGTGGCCCAGTGGTTAAGAATCCGCCTGCCAATGCAGGGGACACGGGTTCGAGCCCTGGTCCGGGAAGATCCCACATGCCGCGGAACAGCTAAGGCCGTGCGCGACAACTACTGAGCCTGCGCTGTAGAGCCCGCGAGCCACAACTACTGAAGCCGACGTGCCTAGAGCCCATGCTCTGCAGCAAGAGAAGCCACCTCAATGAGAAGCCCGCGCACCGCAACGAAGAGTAGCCCCCGCTCACCGCAACTACAGAAGAGCCTGCACGCAGAAACAAAGACCCAACGCAGCCAAAAATAAAAATAAATAAATAAATTTTTTAAAAAAGAGAGAGAGAAAGAAAAAAAAATTAATGCAAAAAACTCCCTTCATGAGATAGCATACATACAGGAGAAAATAGTAACTGACCAAGAATCACTTAAAGTTCCCAAGGTTATTTTTAAGTTAACTTTGTCAATCTACTAAACTAAAGGAAAGATAGTATTACCCAAGTCAGTAAATGGCGAACCTCCAGGGAGCTGTTCAGTGTAAAATACTTGAATAAATAAAAACCTTCTATTTTGTTTAATTTGAATGGAGGTGAATTCAGTTGACAGATATTGCAGAGGGGAAGTGTGGGAAAGAGATACAACAAAGGATTTTGTTTTGTAGAGAACTAAATATTGTTAGTTGCAAATTAAGTTTTTACCAACCACAGATTTAGAATTGCTCAGTGTCATAGTTTATTTTCCTTGGACATTTTATGATTGCACCTTATCTTGAACTACTCAGATGAGAAGCATGTTGATGGGATCTGAGTAGTACCTTCCTCAGATAGTCAAACTCTAACAAGCAGTCAACTTTTAATGATCACGGGGATACTAATATTAAAATGGTGTTTATAGACATTAAGAGAGAGAGTTCTCTCTTTAGGGATGAAGGTAGCATAGTATCCATCTACCTTGGTGGCTTATAATAGGTAATTGGAACCTGAAGATATCTCTAGCTTAAATTTGAAAATTTTTAAATAGCAAGTAAAT